AAAAAAAAAAAAGAATTCACTTAGTGGGCTGGGAAGGTGGCTCAGTGATAGAGTGCTTGCCTTGCATGCATGAGGCCCTGGGTTCGATTCCTCAGCACCACATATGCAGAAAAACCTGGAAGTGGCACTGTGGCCCAAGTGGTTGAGCTCTAGCCTTGAGCCGAAGAGCTGAGGGACAGTGCCCAGGCTCAGAGTTCAGGCCCCACGACTGACACACACACACACACACACACAAAAGAATTCAATTAGTGTCACTCTCGAAATAGCCTTGGACTCTTGTCATACCCCCAGGGCTGCCAAACTGAAATCATAGTAATAACAGGTGGCTGAATCCCCATTTTCTCCTTAAGTTAGAAAGGCTGGACCATGTATTGGAAATGTGGCTTAGTGGTAGACTGTTTTCCTAGCATGTATAAATCCCTGGATTCGATTCCTCAGCACCACATAAAGCAGAAAAAACCAGAAGTGGCATTGTGGCTCAAGTGGTAGTGTTAGCCTTGAGCACAAAGAGGCACAGGGACAGAGCCTAGGCCCAGTACTGGCAAAAAAAAAAAAAAAAAAGGATGGGCCTTGATTTACTAAATAATTGATGGGATAAGTTGTACTAATAAGTTTGAAAATGGGGAGCTTGTTAGAAGCAGCCTATAAATTTTAGTTCTTTTTAATACGTGGAGCATCTGACCCAGACCCTTACACGTGCAAAGCATGTACTATGCCCCTGAGCCATACCCAAGCCCCCAAATGGTCTTCTTTTATAGTTTGTTTGCCAGTCCCAGTGCTGGGGCTTGAATTCAGGGCCTGGGTGCTGTCCCTGTTCTTTTTTGCTCAAGGCTAGCACTCTACCACTTGAGCCATAGCTCCACTTTATAATTTTGGTTGGTTAATTGGAATTTAAGTGTCTCATGGACTTTGCTGCCTGGCTGGCTTAGAACTTCAATCCTTAGATCTCAGCCTACTGAGTAGGTGGGATTACAGGTGTGGGTCACAGGTGTTCTGCCATAGTTTTTGTTTTGGATTTATTTCTTTAAGGACTTAAGTGAAGAATAACAAGTCTTGACAGTTACATGAAAAATAACAATTACCTTGCTCTTTTTTTGGCGACATATACTAAGACTTGAACTCAGGGCCTTGTGCTCTTCCCTGTTCATGCTGCTACTCTACACTTTAGCCACATGTCTACTTCTGGCTTTTTCTAGTTAATTTAAGAGTCTCAGGTTTGTCTAGGGCTGGTTTCAAACCTCAATCCTTAGATCTCATCCTTCTATATGTAGGATTACAGGCCTGAGGCACCGTGTACAGTGGTGGCCTTTTTTAATTTAAAGTATTTTCTCTTACATTTGGCCTTTTAAATGTTTTTATGATGTTGACCACGCTGTGCATAGTGACACATCTATAATCCCAGCACTGGGGAAGCTAAGCAGGAGGATATGGGTTCAGTATCAGCTTGGGCTATATAGTGAAACCCTGTTGTCTCAAAAAGAAAAGTTTTATTTGTGAAGGAAATTGTGTCCCTCAAAGAATACATTGTTAAGAAATTTGTAGCTGTAACATGGAAGGCTTAGCTGGTATTTAACCTTGGATCTGAGTTGTTTCTACATAGGCAGGTGGAGGAATCTTGAGTCATAACCATTTATTTTCAAACACAATGAAGATATTGAGATGTGATGATAAATGGCATCCAGGTTACTTGTTAACCTGTTGTTTTGAAAATGAGGAAGCTAGTAATTTGGGATTTATCTGCAATAACTCTTAAATTGGTCTGCTCCTTGAGTCTGGATTTTGTGGTCTCAGCCTGCTGTTAGTGTGACTACAGACTTGAGTTGCCAGTGTAAAATAATATTTCATACAATCTGGGCACAATAGCTCATGCCCATTCTGGCTACACAGCAAGTAGTTAGTATTATTATTATCTAATATAGGATCTTGCTGCATAACCCAAGCTGAGCTGGAACTCAAGATCCTTCCATTTCCCAAATGTTGGAATTACGGGATGTACTAGCATGCTTAGCTATTACTCCCTCCTCCTTTCCCTACGCCCAGGTCCTGGGGCTTGAACTTGGGTCTGGGTGCTGTCCCTGAGCATTTTTGTGCTCAAGGGGATCATTCTGCCACTTCACCTAAAGAGCATTTCTGGTGTTTTCTGAATAGTTTATTGAAGGTAAGGGTCTCAAGGACTAGCTTTGAACCATGATCCTCAGATATCGGCCTCCTGAGTAAATAGGATTACAGGTAAGAGCCACCAGCCCCATGCCCTGCAATGATTTAAGTTTTAAAAGGAAAATAACAAGGTGAAACCGTGATGACTGAAGCCACATAATATTCCTCAAAAGGTCCTCATCTTGGGTAGGGGCAGTGGCAGAATCCTGTATACCCACATTTGGGCAGTGACAACCCTTTTCCACTCCCTAATATCAGCAGACAAGTTGTTGGGTTATGTCCTTTAAAGGTACAGATGGCTACAGGCCATCTGTAGAATTCACTTATTTAAGCAGGAGAAACCATGATTGAATAGAAAAAAACATCCAGGCTCATTGTGTTTGCCCAAGTCTTTCATTTCTCAGAGACTGCATTTAATGGCTCAGCACTGGATTGAAATGATTAGGATTTGTCTTCCTATCACTGTATACTATTCTTTTTTTTTTTTTTTTGGCCGGTCGTGGGGCCTGAACTCTGGGCCTGGGTGCTGTCCCTCAGCTCAAGGCTAGCGCTCTACCACTTGAGCCACAGCACCACTTCTGGCTTTTTTTTTTTTCTTATGTGGTGCTGAAGAATCGAACCCAGGGCCTCAGGCATGCAAGGCAAGCGCTCTACCACTGAGCCACCTTCCCAGCCCCCACTGTATACTATTCTTGTGACAAAGGTTCACTGTACTGTAATTTTGTTGCTGTCCTTTTGGCTACATAGGTCAAGAGCACCATTGGATGCTTACTTTCAAGTGAGCAGGACCCAGCCTCAATTGCCAGCTGCCTCTTCTGATTCAGAAACTAGAAATCCCAGATCTGAAGACTTGCATGTATCAGGTGGTTCTCATTCTGACAGTGACAGCTCTGTAGAGAATGAAGAGGTGGTTGGTCAGGCAGAAGAACCTGGAACTGTCATTTCAGAAGGTCAGTCAGTATTTTATGCAGGTTAGCATTCACAAGACTAACATCTAAGTTTTGAGAAGACTAAAAACTGTAGTTGTACTTTGTTATTTTCCTTTTTTTCTCTCAAATGCCATTGGTTCCTATATTAGAATTCAGCACTTTGAACTGGCTGTGATGATCCTGACAGAATTTGATCTGACTTACCTAGTTGTATTCCAGTGAAGCAATCCCTGTGATGTCATTTTATGTTCACTTTCCTTTTTTTTTTTTAAACCTCTATAAAATAAGTAGATTATTCATTTGAAAGTTTTTGCAGCTGGGCATGGTGACACATCTGTAATCCCAGCACTAGGGAAGCTAAGCAGAAGGATAGGATAATGGGTTCAATATCAGCTTGGGCTATATAGTGAAACCCTGTAGTCTCAAAAAGAAAAATTATATAAATCCACCACACATTGATGGCTCATGCCTGTAATCCTAGCTACTCAGGAAGCTGAGATCTGAGGATTGCAGTTCAGAGCCAGCCCGGGCAGGAAACTCAGTGAGACTCTTTATCTCCAACTAACCACCTGAAAACCAGAAGTGGTGCTGTGGTTCAAGTGGTAGAGTGCTCACCTTGAGCTAAAGAGCTCAGGGACAGCATCCAGGCCCAGAGATCAAGCCCCATGACTGACCAAAAAAAGAAGTTATATAAATCCAATACCTTATCTAAGGTATCACTTTTTTTTTTTTAAGCCAGTCCTGGGGCTTGAACTCCGGGCCTATGTGCTATCCTTGAGATTCTTCTGCTCAAGACTACCACTTTAGCTACAGTTCTACTTTGGCTTTTTTGGTAGTTTAGTGAAGATAAGATTCTCATAGGGAAGCCAGGTGCCAGTGGCTTATGCCTGTAATCCTAGCTACTCAGGCTGAGATCTGAGGATTGTGGTTCAGAGCCAGCCCTGGCAGGAAAGTCCATGAGTCTCTTCATCTCCAATAAGCCACCAGAAAACTGCAAGTGGTGGTATGGCTCAAGTAGTAGAGTGCTCGCCTTGAGCTGAAGAGCTGAGGGACAGCATGTAGGCCCAGAGTTGAAGCCCATGACCAAAAACAACAACAACAAAAAAGATTCTCACAGGGGCTGGGAATGTGGCTTAGTGGTTGAATGCTTACCTGGCATACATGAATCCCTGGGTTTGATTCCTCAGTACCATATACACAGAAAAAGCCAGAAGTGGCGCTGTGGTAGAATGCTAGCACTGAGCAGAAGCAGCTCAGGGACAGTGCCCAGGCCCTAAGTTCAAGCCCCAGGACTAGCCAAGAAAAAAAAAAAAAAGATTCTCAGACTTTCCTCCCCTGGCTGACTTCAAACTGAGATCCTCAGGTCTCAGCCTTTTGAGTAGCTAGGATTATGAGCCTCCTGCTTAAGGTGTCACTTTCTAATCTTAGTAAAATGTTATGTAGATGGAACTTAGTAGGTGGCACACACTCCTACAGTAGATGTCCTGATTTCATTAAAAACCTACTGATAGCCAGATTATGGTCTTTCAGTGTTTTTTTCCCACTAAATGGAACCAGTACTTCTAGAAATGACTTCCCAGGTATAGTATAAGGGATACAGAATTAATTGAAGATGAGTCTTGTGAATTTGTCTCTGGTTGGGGTCCAAACAGTGATCTTCAGATCTCCTGAGTAGGCTTGAGCCAATGGCACCAGACATTTTTTTAAAATCGGATAGGTACTAATATTACTATAACTTTGTCTTTTAATGTGTGTTTGAGAATACCCAAAAATAAGATAATAAATCACTGGTATTATTTGGTGAAGTCTTCACTTTTATAGGTAAACTACCAGTTAGAAATGGAAACTATAGGGGCTGGGAAGGTGGCTCAGTGGTAGAGTAAGCGCTTGCCTTGCATGCATGAGGCCCTGGGTTCAATTCCTCAGCACCATATAAGCAGAAAAACCCAGAAGTGGTGCTATGGCTCAAGTGGTAGAGCACTAGCCTTGAGCTGAAGAGCTGAGGGACAGTGCCCAGGCCCAGCGTTCAGGCACCATGACTGGCAAAAAAAAGAAAAAGAAATGGAAACTATAGTGAGTTCAGCTCTCATCCTAACATCTAATAGCTAACTCATACGTTCTTTTATGTATTAACTGCCTTATTCATTTCTGACTACAACTTGGAAGAGCAAGAAAGAGTTACCACAGCAGAGGAAGAAGTGCCATTTATCAGTGAAGGAAATACCCAGTCCAAACAGGTAATATAAAAGTCATCACTCTGTTTCTGCCCCTTTGGGCACTACTGTAGCTTGGGCTCAGGGTCTTCTGTTTGTTAGGCACATGCTCTTTGCTTACACAATATCGTCAGTTCCCTTTTGGCTTTATTTTTCAGGTAGCGTTTCAAGCTATTGCCTGAGACTACCCTGGACCATGATTTTCTTACCTTTGCCTCTCATGTAGCTGATGGCTGATGGATGTGTACCACTTTACTGACTGTTGATATAGAGGTCTCCCTAACTTTTTGACCAGGCTGGTCTTGAACTAATATCCTCATCTTTGCCTTAGCTCCTCCCTACATTATAGACGTAAGCTTTCTAAGTCTAGCTCAAACATTCTTATTTATTTTTGTGCCAGTGCTGGGCCTTGCCTCCTCTTAGGTTTTTGTCTTTTTCTGATCTAGGCTGGTGCTCTTTTACTTTAGCCACAGTTGCACTTCCAGCTCTTTGCTACTGGTTCTTTGGAGATTAGTCACACAATCTTTTCTGACTGGATTCGTTTCAAATGGCAATCTCAGATCTCAGCCTCATGAGTGTATAGGATTCCAGGTGTGAGCCAGCCACTCCTGGCTTACACATTCTGTGTGTGTGTGTGCGCGTGCGTGCGTGCGCGTGCTGGTCCTTGGGCTTAAACTCAAGGCCTAGGTGCCTGAACTTTTTTTTTTTTTTTTTTT